CTTGGTTTTTGATGGCTGTAATCATTATCAGATGATTGCTCATGTAAGAAATCTCTGCGAATGGCCACACCCAAGGTCATGTTAGTTGAATTTGACCCATTGAATTGGAGTACTTGCTGAACTTGAATAATTGAGCTTGATGAAATTTGATGAGATTTTATTGAAATCTATGAAAAGACTAGTTTTATTTGCCAAATTCTATTTTTTCTGGGATGTTAGTCTTTCATAACCGAAACAGTTCAGAGGTTAGGTCAGATTTTTCGCAGTTTTGGACTACTGCCATTGCACTCAAACGGGACTGCTACACGCGGTTTTCACTGAGAATTTTCATCAAATTCCTGATGCTTTTCTTTTTTTAGAATTTTCTCAATTTGATTCATTAGCTGATTGCTCAATTTACCTTAACGCCATGTTCAAGCGGAAGAGTCAAGATTTCTTAAACAGAACTGTTTTGATATTGCAAGATTTAAGATTTTGTCGAAATGAGTCCTTTACTCAAATTTCCATTTTTCAGGTGGCTTCCAGAATTTTCGACTACAGTTTCCGCAACAGTGTGAAAGTGAGCATCCTGCGAGCGGTGACGGCGGCGGCAGAATTTGCGGCATGAGCCGATTGTCGGCCAGCATCTCACAACCGTGTTTATCGTCGATCAGTTTAAACACTGATGGTCCTACACAGATCTTCCCGTTCATGTACCTGGGCAGTCAACAGGATGCACTTGACGAGGAGAAAATGAAGGTTAGTCGTAAATGAATCATGTTCTAGTCGTTCTTTGAGTGTATGTACCTGGTCTTGCGGTATGGAATACGTGATTGCACTATGGTTTCACAGAAATCTGAGAGAAAGAGTGGTTTGAGAGCTCTGAAAGGAAAGATTGGTGAAGGTATAATGAATCATCCTGCCCGTCGCCGTTGTTATGGGCAGATAAGGGGCTCGGGCCTGTTTGCATTTGAGATGGTTTTTGATTTTTAAGCGATCTCCGCTGCCGGAATGGCTGCGATTGCCGTCTTTGAAAGGTTGAAAGATGGCTGATGAATTGTTCTAGTAGCTTACAACTTTTAGTTTGGTAATTAATTGGACATCTAAGTGCCTAGTGAGCGTTCAATTTACATCACCATGAGCCCTATCCATAATAGAGGCGTACTCTAAAAGAAACAAGAGTGAGGTGGAGTTAATGGCTTCAGTGGTTACTTTACCGCAGCTGGGTTTTATGGATAGCATCAAGAAAACATCTGAAGATGGACATTATCTCAAATTTCAAGACTATTTTGTACTGAGGCCTGAAAGATCCAAATTCGGGGTTCACGGCAATCCTTAATTGTTTTTCTTACAAACGCCAATATTTTGATGCCTACCACTTTTTTGAGCCTAAAATACTACTTTTGCCTTTTTGAGTCCGAACTTGATAATTTCCATTGGTTCACCAATACCCCCCCCCCCCGGTCAGTGTGGTTTTACCCCCGAAGGTGAGCCCGAACTTGTTCTAGAGCAGTTTCGGGGTTGTTAAGCGACATACTGAATCTTTGGAAATGAAGGCTTCGGACAGCGCATAGTTACTATCAATAATATTACTATCATTACTGTTCTATTTTAAATCATATATAGAATGTTCTACTAATGATTCAGAAGTACGGTATCACGCATGTTGTGAACTTATCGATCTCTTGTCCACGGCCGAAATCGATTGAGAACGACAAGAATTTCTTTCGAATACCGGTGAATGACTCGTACCAGGAGAAGTTGTCACAGTATTTCGACGAAGCATGGGTGTTTCTAGGTGAGTCACTGGGCAACACAGATGTCCACGCCATTGTTTAGTCGGATACGACGCGTTCTTTTGTGCAAATGTGCGTCATTCGCAGAGCCTAAGTGTCTAGTAGATTTACTATTTACCAATGCAAGAAAAGACGTCAGCACAAAGAGCAAAAATTGCTGCGATTGATTTTTTGGGGGACATGAATTTCGCAGTTTCGATTTCCTTCCCCTCTCCCTTGAGCGTCAAGCCATCGTGAGGTTTTCTTTGCAAAGTAACGTTTCATATTTCAGAAAAGGTGCGCACGGAAGGAAAAGTGGTGCTGATTCACTGTCTTGCGGGAATATCAAGAAGTCCGACGCTGGCCATTTTCAATACGTTAGCGATTACAAGATAATTCATCTGAAGCGCCTATAGTAGAAATTTGCATTGAATTTGGCTTATGGATGTTGGGACATCATGGGCGGGTAAGTTTTTATGGTAGGAGAGATTTGTTGATGCAAAAATTGCACACAGATGTTCCAGCATTGGCGATGCGGCCGCCCTGATTTGTACAGTGAATTCTATAGAATTGAAGGCTGAAATACTCCCACCGTTGTTACATTGTTCTCGTATCTATTCTTACGACAAAGAGAAATAGGTGTTCTAAATATGGGAGGTTCCAGTGGATATTGCGCTACAGTTTTGCAAAGAATAGGGGTCAAATTGTCCCAGATGGTGGAATAAGGTTATATGGGATTGAGAAGAGGGTTGTGTAGAAATTTCCCAATGTCTTTTCCTGGGCTATTTATGCCCTAGTTCGCCCCTCTTTTGTTATTGATCGGATAAAATTGTTTTGGCTTCCTAAAACTTAACACTGAATCTAAATCTGATGGTTCCTGAATCATTTGAGATTGTGTCAGTGTAACTAAAAAACTGCTTGGAAACCCACTTCTACCCCCCCCCCTCCTTCTGTTGGTGATCACAGGGTGAGTCGTAAGGCTGCCAGTGTAGTTTTGTGGCAAGTGTCCGTAATTGGATGCTGATCTACGAGAACGTGAGAGTTATTCAGGTTCTGAAGGCTGAAGGAAGATGATGATGATGTGAAACACAGTATTGACAACGGCGAATCATCGGGTCTCACACGAAAATTACAGACTAGTCAAGGAGAAACGCCCGTCGATTTCACCGAACTTCAACTTCATGGGGCAACTGCTTGAATACGAGCAGTTACTGATCAAGAAAGGCCTCTTGTCAGCAGAGGCCTCATCGAAGCGTATTGATCGACCGATTTCATTCAAGCAGGTTTTCGCTGCCGAGGTTTGTTCAGTTCTCGTCTATACGATTTCCATTACTACTTTGAGAGGTGTTTTCCATTTCCTAGTTGATTTTTCACGTTTGGGAAGATTTCTGGGGCCGTATGCTACCTCTACCCCGGAGGAACGCTCCTCCTTCCCTTGGTACTATCCCTTCTTAGCCTAGGGGATGGGGAGGCAGGGTTTTGCTGTGGGAACCGCTGTTAAACGGTTGGTTCCGTAGGAATCCTTTGCAGTTGAAATACTCTATTTCCTGAGGGAACGGCTGCTCTAACTGTCGGAACGCTAGAAGCGCAGATTATGGCAGGATCCAATGCCACAACCCTGTCTCCCTCTGCCTTAGTATCTCGTCGGCGGAGACAGGCGCGTTCCCGGGGGGGGGGGGGGTGAGGAGTAGTGGGACAGCATACGGCTCTAGTTTTGAGCTTGTTAGCATTATGAGTTATTATGATCCCATAAAAACCCGCTTGGGTTTCGCTTTTGCAGTTTCATCTGCAATCTTCATGCAATGCTTTTCAGGATTCTGACGAGCCAATTTGTCCAGCAACGAAAGTTCCAAAGTCGGCATCTGCACATTGCGTGTTTTTCGAACGGCCACGCGACATTGGTGTACCAGTAGCTCGAGTGAACGAGAATGGAAAACGCGGCCTGAGTGATCCTCTCGATCGACCGAAGGTGCTTGGTCTGTACAATGCGGAATCAAAACGAATAGCGGCCGTAAGAATAGCCGATCAAACCGCGTTACTGGAACTCTCAAAGCTCTACTCTTCCACCGTTTTCCGCCAACCCATCGCAACTCGGGGGAGGCCGCGGATAACTTGTCGCTATCGCAAATCTCTTTGTCTCACGCAGCAAACGCGAGAGACTAACTAGCTCTCAACCGACGACGCGTCACATCATACAGAAAATGCGAGATCCTGTCGGCTCACTATTCTCAAGCACGCTGTCGGTCATTTTAAGGTTTGTGCTCAGGATTGCTAAAGAGAAGATAGGTTCATGCGAGAAATTTTCCCACCTGCTTCACGGCTTACCGAAGATTCTGTGAGAGACAACTGAAATTAAGACCGGAAGAATCGAGTTCAAAGAACGTGTGCTTTAGATTGCTCGAGCGCTGCTGAAGTGTTATTTCGAGAGGATTCCTGCTCTTCTTCTGTTTATTTTTTTTCCGGGGTTGGGTTTCGTCTGGTCTGGTGGTGGGTGGGTCGTTTCTAACAATTCGCGAGGCATCACTCATTCTTCCTCCCTTGTTCTTTACTCAGGAGATATTAATTGATGACCTGCTTCCTGCTTGGAGAAAAAATGCCAGTTCCGATCGCCGGAGTTCCCACAGTTGGTGTGTCAATTAAAAATGCCTACCGCACAAGTTATACCGCTAGTTCGTCGTGGAGAATTCCAAGCTTCAGTTCTGCATTCCATTCCTTCCGCGTATCAGCCAGATAAAAAGTCAATCGTACGAACCAAGTCCCCGCTGCGTAACCTACAGGCTGAAGAAGCAGAATCAGCTGAATCGTCTTATCATTGGTTGGCAAGAATTACTTTAAATGCTTCAAACTAATCTCGCGTGCACGGAGAACTCATTTACTTTCTTACACGGTTAGGCCGTGGTGCAGAGTAATGAGGCGCCTGGGTGGGCCTATAATAAACTTGATTTACTGAAATGCAATTCCCATATTTCTTGCCATGACGCACTGCTCATGAAACCAGCGAGTAGATGACGCAACACGTTCTCGAGAAATAATCCCCGCCGGCTCTGCACCTCACTTCTTACTTGGGGCCTGTAATCATTCCGCGTTCCAACACATTCATATTCTGCCAGTATCTTTTCGGTGGCGCGGCATTCTCGGTAGCCGTATTTTTTGTGAGAGCTTATACAGGTTGGCACCTGTATTGCAGGAATTTTTTGATTGCGCAAGTTTATTAGTATGTGTAGTACCAAGTAGGCGTAATCATCCTGATGGAATCGTAAAGGCCTAAAAGTAACGTGTATCTTTGGACAACTTCCAACTTGTCGCATTAGGATGATAAACATATTGCGGCCAGTAACAAATTAGACGTTCAGCCCTTACAGAAAAGGTTTTGAGCCTCTCACAAAATATAACTAGAAACCCCGCATGCTGGTAATCACCGAAAGTGATTTCGCACAGCATGCGCATCGTCTTAAGGTCAAATCTCGGACCGAATCTATTTCAGGCCAATCATTCAACCCTGCGTTACTGTGCGGGTCGATTAATTGGTAGCAAACTCATTTTGGAGAACAAAAACATTAGCTCACCTACTATTTTTCTAAGTCCGATCACTCCATACGACGCGAACGCGCCCAGTTCACAACTTATTCAGCCCCACAACACATACACGAACTAAAACAGATCTTGGAATTGGTCAACTCTTCGCGCCCGCGGTCCTGGGCCGGGGTATCTACCTTAACATGGGGCTGTCCGTCATGTCAATAGAAAACCTTGCTTTTCCGATTCCGGAAACGCCAAAAAAGGAGTACCTAAGATGTGATTTATGATTTTATTCTACGATATGATGAAATTTGCTTTTTCATTCGGATTTCCTTTTTCCTTCTGATTTATACCAAAACTTCTAGATGAACAGGAAATCGCGTTCCCTAAAGGTAAATTTTCCAATCCTTTATACGGCTTTCGGAGCTGGCGCGAAAAGTGATTTTCATTCCCTCATCTCACTAAAGTGTTCTCTGCAGAAAAAAAAAAACTTTAAAAAAAAGCTAAAATGCCTCACATTTTGAAGAACTCTCCCTGGTAAATCCGTCAAGGTGGCCCAAACTTTCTGAAGGGGATTACTTCAATGGCGGCACAGAATTTCAAGTGGCCTGAAGAGATTTGCCTGGAACAATCAGTGGATTAAGAAAAATCCTCTCGTCTAGGTGTTCGGATTTCTATTTCTCAAAATGTTATGATTAGAACATGATGGTTGGGCAGGAAATTATCAATGAGGCGGCTGGTGTAGTGCGCGCGCGGTCGCGGTGCGGCATGAGTACACGCATCTTGTATTTTGTATCTTCTTATATTTTCTATTCAAATTTGCAGTGTGTTATCTGAAATCATTAAACTGTATAACTATAGTACAGTTTTAGGATGACGAATATAAGACATCTCCGGAAGATCTTGATCGTGTCTCGATCAGCTCAGCAGGTAGTGAGATTACAGTTCAGTAATCGCGGCCATACACAGCGACAGCGAACGATCGCTGGTGAAAGACGGGTACGAATCCAAACATCAGCATGATCGTAGGTGATTGGTACAAATTCCCGTTGAAGCCACTGGAGGACTTTCAACGGATTTCTATAGCTTGGGCGATGTCACTTGCAGCTTCATTACGGTCTTTCTTATTAGGACGGGAAAATCCTTCCTATCATATAGTGATTTTAACGCTGCACGTTGCAAGTGATGTCATTGATCTACGTCTCATCAATCAATAATTGAGGACTTATTGTGTTTTACATGAGCTGCTCGATTTCCCCCGTATATAAATATTTTGATGTTATTTGTCCCCTTTATTGATAATCATCGTCATGGGCGGCTACTGATGAGCACGTAGTCGTCAGCAGCGTTTTTCTGTGTTCACGGGTATTTCTAATGTGACTTTACCATACTACGGACCACAATTATATAGTCTAGAATTC